AAGACTTTGATTATAAATTTGACTAAATAAAGGGAACGAAATTAATTAATGAAAACTGATACAAAACTTTCGAATCATGATCGTGTAATTTTTGCCAGTTTATTCTTTACCTTTTACATTAAAACCGTATGCAAACAATTGGTCAAATTTTGCACAAAGTCAGAGTAAAAAGTTGATAACTCTAGCTGTTGACATGGAATAGGATTACTAATACAATATATTAGTAATACATTCCATTATGGGTGTGTGACTATCTCGACAGAATTAGGTCGCTATGCGATCATCGAGTGTGCGTTGTATGATAATATGGTTTATTGTTTATTAAATGCAGCAATATGATAGAGATCGAATTTATAATAAAACTAAGGTTAATATACGCAGTACATTTTTTCTGATGGCTAATCTATCTTTGTTTGCTAAGAAGAACGACCCTGGATCTCAGGAGGCGAGAGCGCGGTGCTTCTTGCGATTCACTGTAATATCGAAAAGGAATAGCTATGTGACTTGGAGCTATGTGGACTTTTCACACTTAAAGCCATGTGAATACGTAAAGTTTGCTACAACACTCATCTACGAGTGTTAACTAATAAGATCATTCATATAAATTTCAAACAATACAGTTTAATGCTTTGCTTGTCTTTATAATATTTAGATGAAAAAATAACTTATAATATTTTACCTGGGGCGTTTAAGAGTACTTAACACACATTCCTTCAACGAGGTCATGCTGTTTATAGCTCTAAACTATTGATATAACCCTTGGCTGAAATATTACACCGTAAATACAGGCAGTAATGTGTTTAAAGAGACGACCAGCTAAAAGCACCATTCTTGAGTTTTCAGGTCGCCCTAATGTACAAAAACAACACAGTTTCGTCAACACTGATGGAGAATTGAGCTCTCTGGAAGCACATTTCCACAAAGTCGTTCGCACACTTTAGTGAGAAAAATATAAACGAACAGATAACATCATTATTAACTACATTTGAGTAAGCTTATCAAGGTATATTTTTGCTGGTACTATAAGACCATGTTTCATATTGCATTAACAGTAAACGAATGTTAAAAGTTTTCGTGAATGAAGTTTCTCACATCAGCTTAGTTTAATTGAAACGAGAACGCAGCTCCCTGAATGACTTACCAATTTGCATGTTACCTTTCATTATGTTAATTAAATGCATTTTCAAGCCTTTTAAAGCTCCTGAAATAACTTCTGTATTACAGCTGAATTGCCAGAGCAAAATTAAAGTAAAATGTTTGCAGCAAGGCAAACATAACATAGCACATTTACATAAACATAAACATTTAACATAAATAAAACTTACCCGTGCTTGATTTTAGCTGTTAATTTTTTTAATGACTTTTGATTACCATTAACAACTATTTTACCTGTAAATTGACTACGATTTTAATTTTGAAGAAATTGTCTTTTACAACTTCGGACGACAATTTTTTATTTACACAATTTATTAAGAGCTATTAAATGTACATTTTAAAACCAATTTTCATGGCACTGTAGCATCTTATGGATTTTATTGTGGATCTTGTCGTGAAATTAAAAAGTGTAGTTGAAGAAAAATGTATTTTTTTGAATTTTGTGCCAAAATATACATAAAATTGGAAAATAACTTTTTTCGTATGGTATAAACTAAAACTTATTAATGCTGGTTTTGACATCTAATTGTTTACAATAATTCCGATTGAAAATTGTAAAAACACTCATAAGTTTTACATATAACGTTTTCTTGACGAACACTGAAAACAACATTTGATTTGAACACACAACACCATCACTACCTCAACAAACATTAAGTTGGCAACACTGAGAAATAAAGATTTACCGTCTACATTGTTTACAACCCTGATATACATCTCAAGACATAAACTGACACGTTTACTAGCTGAAGAGTCAACACTCCAAGCTGAGGTCGTATGATAGAAGGTTTATATTGGCTAGGTCGCCATATTGATAGGCTTCCTTGAAATTGACATTTATGATCGAAACATATTCTACTTCAGCAAGAATCTACTCGTTTACACGTGTGTTGCTGTAAAGTATACGTTGAATATACGTTAAATATGTCAAAATATTGTTGTGAAATCGAAAAGTTTCCATCATGAATTTTTATCGACATCGAGCAAAGTGAATACGAGCATCGCAAGAGTTCCTTCCATAAATTCTGCGGTGGAAATGATTTAGCTGTGATTTTTGTAATCGAGTCGGGTTCAATATATCTAAACATTATTAAATTGAACTTTGGTTTGACAATACATTGATTATTAAAGGGAAAGGCGAATAACCGACTTAATTGGAGGTTACGAATTGAACATTTATTTCTTAGTTTCTTTGTTTTTGTTTTGTACATATGTTTGTGCTGGATTAATTACGATCCGATTTGCTGTATATGTATTTTTAAAATGAAATATTAAGATTCTTTTTTTAATGCGTTATGAAATAAATGTATATCATGGTGATATAGTATTAACGGGGATTTCCAATGAAATTATTTTCCATTATTGACATGTGTATTATGGTTTAATGACATCTGGATTATCAAAATATACTCGCTTAATAGAATGTCGATGTATGGTTTACAATTTACAAAACTCTGCAATGACTTGCAATGCGTTTTCTTGATTTCTACGCAATCTTTTGGAACGGAGAAAAAATGGTCCGAAATAAATATTTTGATAACTGACAAATTGTTTTCCACCACAAGGATTTAAAATTACATTACCTTTACATTAAAGTTAATTCAAACCTGACGTGACATCGATCAAACTTAAATTAACTTTATTGTCTACTCTAATTGGCTGATACAGAATATAAGATTTTTACTCATCATTAAGTTTATCGCAACTTAAGTAAATCGAAAGTATATCAATATATCGAAAGTTTACTTATAAAAATCTTATTAAATTTCACGAGAAAAAATGATCATCACAACACTTCAAAGAGTTATTATCCCTGAATGGTGCAGCAACTTAGGAGTGAAAAAGGTGTCTTATATCAAAGTAGAGCTCTCGTCGCGTTTTCCTTTGAGGATTTCAATTCATATTTCTCTCTATTGTATGAAACCTATGGATTATATCTGAATTACACTATAAAAGTACATCATATGAACTCATATCAATGATCGGCTTGAACCAAGCTTGAATATTTCAATATTATTTTAGGTATATTTGAAGATAAATATGTAGAACTTCACCCATATAACTTTGTATGCAGTAACAAATAATAGGTTTAATATTAACGGAATAACGTTTCTATGGTAGAAAATTAAAACTATTAACAACTGAACGAACATTGGAAAAGTGATTCAATTTCACAGCTTAATTAAGCTTAAACACAGCTTAAAATGTCGTTGTTACATTAGCTTGAATCTTATCCACGAAAGAAACCAGAGTCGAACGATGCAAAAGAGTGACGTATATATACGAATATCGTCACCCAGATATATAAATAGGATAGGTCTATATTTACTAAATAAAATAAAACGTTAATTAGAAGAATAAAAAGTACAATAAATAAAAAAGGAAAATAGAAAATAATTAAAACAATATAAATGTTTGTTTAGACAAAATAAAATAAGACCAGCCAAAATAGAAGAAAAGAAAAAAAGAGGGAAATATTAAAACAAAAAAATCAAAATGAGTAAAACTACTATAAATAAATACAAAAGTCATCACAGAGAATGGTAGAAGTAGAACAGCAGAAAAGATATTTACTAATTAAATCAAATAAAATAGAAAAAAACTGGAATTGATGTCTAAAAAAACTGTACTAACTTCTAACATCCTAACAGTCAAGGCATTAAAGAACAAATAAACAAACTTATTCTAAGACACTGAAATACCTTTGCTATCCTTTAGTCCAGTCAATGAATGATCCAAAAGTAGGTGTAGAGTGCGTGAGCAGGTAACTAAGCGATTCCTTCAGAAACTTGTTCAGGGGGCTTAGGGTGTTAACATACCAAAAGTCCTGACTCCTAGGTGCTGAGCCAGGGGGTGGAGGGGGGAAAAAGGGGGGGAAAAAGGTACGCATTTTGGGTTTTTTGATTATATCTCGAAAACTATCAACTTTTTGTATACTATAGTAAAATATAAAATTGAAGAAGATTAAATTTTCTACAAGAAAAGTATATAATGTGTTTATTTTGGTTCAACAGATTGCGATTTATAACTTATTTAATTGATATCTTATTAAAATACTCCTTCCATAAGAAATACATGTAAATTAGTATGCGAAATGGGGCGAATCCTATCCGCCCAAAGGAAATATAACTGATATTCTAGAAATCTTGACAAAATTTCCAGTAATTTTACACTTTAATCATGAAATTTTGTCAAAAATTAAAGCGAGGGTGAGCGTTTAAAAATGGGATGATTTAAGGTTTTTTTTATATTTCCAATAAAAAAACACCAAAACTCGACATTTTGTTACCTCGCCCTCGCCTTAATTTTGGATCAATTTTAATGATTAAAGTGTCAAATTACTGGAAATTTTGTCAAGATTTCCAGAATATCATTTATATTTCCTTTGGGCGGATAGGATTCGCCCCATTTCGCATACTAATTTACATGTATTTCTTATGGAAGGAGATTTTAATAAGATATCAATTAAATAAGTTATAACTCGTAATCTGTTGAACCAAAATAAACACATTATATACTTTTCTTGTAGAAAATTTAATCTTCTTCAATTTTATAATTTACTATAGTATTCAAAAAGTTGATAGTTTTCGAGATATAATCAAAAAACCCAAAATGCGTACCTTTCTCCCCCCCTTTCTCCCCCCTCCACCCCCTGGCTCACCACCTAGGAGTCAGGACTTTTGGTATGTTAACACCCTAAGCCCCCTGAACAAGTTTCTGAAGGAATCGCTTAGTTACCTGCTCACGCACTCTACACCTCATTCCTTGACTGGACTACTTATGCATCATACGTAAAGGATATGTATATATTTGAGAATACTCATCATGTTTGAATGCCTACTTACCATTTTGTCTAGCGAGGTTTTTAATGGAGTTGAGTAAGCTGGTCATGTCAGGTCAAGTCGAGCCCAGGAGTTGCCATCTTGAGTCTTACCGCCAAACTCCCATCGTCCTCCACACTTCCGGTTCAATAATCCCTAGGCTTTACACTTCCGGTTCACTATCTGTAGTTTTCTCACAGGTATTTCTCAGTTTGACACTATAGAATGAAAACACTTTGTTTTACAGTAAAATTTTTTCACGCACTTTCTTGACAGTTCAATATTCTAAGTTTTCACTTCAAATGGATTTTCCAAGAGGATAAGATTGCCTATCAAACAGGTAAGGTAATCTGAAGAAAAACGAGATCCTTTACTCATATAAAAGAGACTCACTGTAATATGTTTTCAAGTATATACAGGTACAAAGAAAATTATAAATAAAACATTGTATTTCTTCTGTCGAGATATGAATGGAAATACAGATTCAGGCTTTGCATTGAAGAGGCAAACACGAATGTGAAATAAAGTCATTGAAATATTTAGATCTGAGAATAATCATCTTGTTCTATTTTCCTCCTAACTTTTTTATATTGAGTTTTAGAAACTACTTTAAAAAATATTCACAGTGAATAAACGATATAAAAAAATTTTATAAGTATTTTAATTTTAAACTGTTTAACACATACAAGCTTGCAACAGATACTAGAATTAATAAGTTAAGTTTTAAAATACCGTACAAGTAGATTTTGAAAATCAACCACGTCCAAACAGAAGCTGAAGTTAACAGCAGTAAATGCACAAACCCGGGAGAAAGGAGCAATTATTATCCAATATCGGGGAGATGGGCGTCCAATGACCAATTATTGCTTCTATTGCTGCATAAAACAAATTTTACCGCTAATAAGAGAGACATTTCACCTCAAACCCACGGGTTATGTGTTCGCTTTTACACATAATGCATCATTATCAAGATTTAATAAGATAGTGTCAACCCTTTTTAAATGTATCTTCATAAAGGTTTTTAAGGGTGCAATTGTTTTGTGGCTATACCTAATATTCTTTGTGATATGGTTTTAAGCTGTTGGGGATAAGTGAATTTATAAGATAACAATAATTAACAACCGGTTTTTAATTGCCTTGGATTCGCCAAATAAATTAGTTACACACGGTAAAAAAACGTAAAACGGTTAGTTTTATAAAATATAAACTCGTAATCATTTTATATAAACTAATTTTCTTAAGATTGTTGAACGAACGTAAACATTTCTCTAACAGAAGAAAGAGAAAACAAAATTAATCTCAAAAGGAATAAATTAAGCACACACGATTCAACTAATCTTTGTAACATCCTCGAGGTGTTTTCATAATTTTATATTTTATAAAACTAAACAACCATGTGGAGAATTGCTGACGGTAATGTGCAAAGCAGTAAAAACATTGAAAGCTCCTCTATTGTTGGAATGGGTCGAAGGTCGTTCTCTAATGTACAAAACCAATCCTAACAGCTGTATCGATGCTGATGTCGCAAACAGGACATTTTGCGTCATTGCTTATACTGATGGTTCAATTCAAAAGTCATTTATGTTATTTTTCAACTTAATGGAGGTTTGTTGGAACAACTTGTCACTTATCACTTATCATTAACTATGTTTACCGATTATTTTACCAAACAGTCTGAGCAACCTTTCAAATTACGTTATGTGGGTATATTTAAAAAAAAAGAATGAATGTTTCATAGTTTAAATACAATATATATTTCTAAATGCATTAAAAGGGCTGACAAACATGTACTGTATAGTAACAAACAATGTTTGTCAGCAATTTTTAAACACGAAAGAGGTTCCTTTCAATACGCAATTCGATTTACAAGTTCAGTAAACTTTACAATAGGCTAATGAATTGGTCAAAATTGTCAACTACATAAGCAAGTTTTATGTTTTAATTACGGTGTTTCACATTATTCAGGTTTACTACATAACCATGCTGATGAAGTTGTAACATTGCTTTCTATTACTCGTCTGCAAATGACAACATTAATTTCTCCATGATTATGAAAAAAACTACAAGAGAAAAAGCAAATTGAATTACATTGAAACTACACTCTTCGGTTAGGTTATTTTTTAAATCTTTGAGTTAAAACTTTAATAGCGCATAAATTACATGCTCTCTTCACGATTTTGTCCCTTAGTATGGTGACGTCATAGTTAAAAATATTTATAAAACACTCAACTAATTCACATATGTTTCGTTGAAGAATATTTAATACAGTTCATGGGCTGTGTTTTAAGACAGACATCCTCTATGGGAATTAATGAGGCGTTTGCGAAGGTTCAACGGAGACTTGGTAAAACAAGCGGAATCGATTTGTTTCACAGCTGAGCGATCTATCCTTCCCTCGGGAGATTGGTCTTAAATAAGGGATTCACAAAACCTACCAGGATGTGTTAGACCACGTAAAATAAAAAAAAAGTATATGAAAGTTAAACGTCATAATTGTACATGGTTTTATCGTTCGAAATATTACTGGTTCGCATAGATTATTTATGACTAGAAAGAGGACTGGAAAGAGGAGGTAGAAAAAATACGTTTTCAATTCAAATTAAAATCATCAGAAACGAAACTTGTCATTTATATTTAGTTTTCTGGATAAGTGGGAATCTCAAATAACTGATAGTTTAATTCAGTTCAAGGTAGGCTCTGAACTACTGAGTCAAGAATAGTTACTGAGTTATCAAATACATAAAAGGCGTTGATCTCTGACATGATTTGAACTCGTGACTTCGAGACCAAAGTTCCTCATTCAATTATAAGCTGATCAGTGGCGTTCATTTTTTATGTGCAAAATAATTCATGGTTCACAATATTATTATGAACTATAGTCCAACATTGTTCGTTCTAATAGAGAAATAGGAAAATAATTCCTTTAAAAAATATCAACATTCTGGAGGGTAAAATTGTATTTAAATTAAATGCTAAGTAAAGGACACTTTATTTGGCAAACTCTGTACCTACAACATTCTCCAAAATTTCCTTTTTTAAAATAATTTATTTTTATTTTCCTAATAAAGCATTCTAAAGATAATCCAGCCCAAAACTAGGAACATTTTAGAGAATGTAATTACTAAAACAAAGAGAAAGAAACTAAACAAATACTGTAATAATATTTAATAAAAAGAATAATATAATACAAATATTTTAACGTATATCGTTTATAATTTTGTAAGCACGAGATGTTACACACTAGACTAAATAAGGTTTTTTTTTAAATATATTTATTAATTGAAAATAACATAATTTAAGCAAAGGTTTCCATTGAAATCAAATAAAACAAAGATAAATTGATAAAATATCTACTCTTGTTTGGCAGAGGGAATATTTATTTTGAAGGCAATACATGTTTTTGGTTCATTTCTTGCTTTCGTTACAACCAACATTCTAAAAACATTGTGAAAATATACGTCCAGCGAACGTAAACACATGACAGAGTTTTCGCCAGAATTACGTCGTTTTGCTTTCGGGGGTTTTAACGTACGTGTACTCAGCTGAGTCATGATAATACGCGTGACTCTCTTACATTCATTGTAATTAAGAGTGTTTTATTACATGTTATTACATAACTATTTTGTAATTGGCTTGTTTTACCAAATGTAAAATGAAATGTGTGCCATCGATTGTAAATTGTTGTCTGATGATAATTAGAACTGCTTCATATATAACCCTACATGTATTAGCAAGTGACTTGTATTAATGAGTGTGATCACAAAAAAGGGAATTAAATGTGTGATGTGAAATAAACTATGCATTTTTATTAGTTAAAGTTTGCTGAAACCATTCACTGGAACGAATTGAAAAAAGGGTAAAATCATTTCGGTTTCGTTTTGTGATGAACTTGTAATACGCCTAGTATTACAACTAAACCACAATGTTTATTACAACTAGGGTTAGTTTTATAATGAATTGGTTTAAAATTCCCTGAAGAATTTATTGCATCTCTCACAGTTTTGGAAAATTAATCATCAAACACTCATGTTTAATGGTGTATTATAAAAAAAAACTACAAGTAATTAAACTGTCTAAAACTGTTTTAATTAATTATTTTGATTTTTCAATAGAAAAAAGTTTGCACGGTGGAATGAGTATACAATGTAACTGTGTTTGTTTAGCAGTTGTGTATAGGCCTACTTTACGGGGATTCAAAACTATTCAACGTTTTAATCGCCCAAGGAAGTTTTTTCTTCAATTTTAGCGTATTTGGTCACGTAATACAAACATTTTCTGTCTTAAAATCACAAAAACTGTGAACTACTCTACACAAGAGGACTTTAAAACCATTCCAACTAAATTTTATAAGATAACATTAGGTCTTATTTATAATATAGTGTTTCATTAAGATTATGTTTAAACTCAAATTGTTTAAATTCAAATAAAAAATTGATTCAGCATTAAAAATTAAAAAGATGCATATTTCTAAATGTTTGGGAACTATAAGGTTCCCGAAAATTATTAATGATGGTGATGATGAAAAAATGACGATGATGATGAAATTATGATTTAGTTAATACTATAATGGAAAATACTGCATTACAGTAATAAAAGGTTTAATTTTAACTTAGTTTTTAACTATTGGGTTGCGTATAATAAGCCAAGAACAGATTGGGCTGTACAAATGTTAAAATCCTGTTTGTAGAAGGCAAATACAAGCAAACTCAAAGTTTGTACTTGTTCCACAACACAAACATTGCTAAACATCGTCCTATTCAGACCTCGGAAAACCAAGAACATTTTACATTTTGTTATTTTCATTTCAAAACAAAGTATCGTTTCAACACTTATCTTTCCTCCTAAACTTTAATAAATCTGTCAATCTAGATCTACTGCTACATTTTTGTTGTTAAATAGTTTATTAATATTGATGTCGGGCTTTGTATGGATACGTAATACTTAAACAATCAGGTACCAAAAAAAATAAACTCTTGAATATAGTTTTATGACAAAAACTTTAAGTTTGGCTTTTAATTTAGGAAGCTCTCAAACGCAAAGAGGAAAGAAAATTGTCTTTCCAAAAACAAAAACCTATTAATTTCCCCCCCCTAGATTAAGTTTGATTGATAGACCTACAGCTTAAGCACTACTTTCTCTAATCTAGCTTAAGTATACTGTAATTCTCTCTTTTTAACCACCGATTCTCGGCGTCAACTAAAAGCTACTGATTGGAGGGATTAGAGCCTGTAACTTCCAAG